AATCCTACGACCAGGTCCTTAAACTAATTGGTCGTTAAGTGAGGAACTCTATACAGTACTGTACTGCATTAGTACAGTACTGTATAGCGTTGCAGATGTACAGTACCGAACAGTGTACTGTACATCGGGCAATAAAATACATACCGGGACCCGCAGTGAAGAACGGAGGACATCACTTCCGCCGGCGACACGTCGCACTGACGCTGACACGCAGGGTCGGAGGTCGATCGGAGGTCGGTCGTAAGTGCGAATGGTCGCAAAGCAGGTAAGTCGGTAAGCGAGGATTAGCTGTAAATCAGACAAGTTTCTAAATTGAATAAACACTTAAGAACCCATTCTGTCCAAATATGACTAAGGTACTGAAGGTTTTTACATTATGTTTCAAATTGATAATCACAATGTGTGCCCCTCCTCCAAAAACATTCTTTAACCAAGATGATATAAAATGTACACATGTTTGATGTAACCTACATTACAGCCTGCTTATACCACCATGTTCATATAAAAATATCATATGCAATTATATAGTTTGCGATATTATTAACAGGCTGGACAAATCTCAGGGCAGATGTATATAAATCATTACAAAAGACATTTCTAGCTGAATGCGTTCTATTAGATTAATGTATACAATACCTACAAGGCAAATGAGATTCTATCCAACAGCCAATAACCAATCCCGAATTATTTTTACTGAAAGAACAGAAAGGGTTTGAAATTGCAATTTCACTTTATTTTATATTATCAACTCTGACACAGTTCAATTTATAAAATCAAATGTAAATTCAGATGTAAAAAAAAATAGAGAATCCATATTGAAATCCATAAAGCATTAAGCACTACCAATATTCATTATAAAATAAGAAATAGGGAAATGTTAACATATTCTTCTGTTTAAAATGTAGGTGAGGTGATATTTATAACAATTTTTAGTGCAACGTACAATAATGCATTTGGACAACTTGATTACTCTGCTTGATTTTAACAGTGACATCTATGCTATAAATGCGTGTCAGCAGAATATAATCTGAAGGAATTCATCTTAAATTCACAAAAGTCCTAATGTGTAAATATTTTTAGTAATAAGTAATTTAGTATACATTTTTAGTAATTATTTTTTAGTAATGTAGATTATATTCCACAATATTTATCTCAGAAAACATCTGTTGGGCTTGGCTCTTGAAATATTTTCCATGCATAATGTTAATTCAAACAGATAAAATCCACATTAGATTTGTCACTGAATTCTTAAATTACTGAACAAGGCCCTTCTAGATTGTAAGTCCTCAGGGGCAGGGCCCTCATTACCTTCTTGTCTTGAATTGTATTGTGATTGTAATGTCTTCCTTATATTGTAAAGCGCTGCGCAAACTGTAGGCATTATATACTGTAAATCCTGTATAATAATACCTAAATTGACAGCCGAATACCAATTCATTGAAAATCATCTTCTCTGTTTAAAATATTTAACTATGACAGTTATATACACATAGGGGGTGATTTACTAACCTAAACACACGCACGCACTAGGTGCGTGTGATTTTTACACAGCAAAACGTATTTATCAACGAAAAAGTCTCTAAAAGCATATTTCCACTAATGCCATATATGGAAAAATAATGCACATGATGCATATATAATGCTGCTTCACAGTTTAGACAAAAATGGTTAGCTCATGCATTTACATTCCTGCATTCATCAACGCAAGCAACACAACGTAGAGCTAATTTACACAACATCACCTTGCAATTCATGCAGGGCTTTGCACAACACACCTGCTGGGTGTGTACACACTACAAAGGTGTCTAGATTCCACCAATAGATCATGCTGGGAGGGAACACACTACAGAGGTGTATACTTGTTCGTGGCGTGTTTATAAGGTTAGTAAATCAACCCCAATGGGGTTCCCACATAGTCCACCAACATGTTTTAACTGTTGTCACTGAAATTATACGTGATCTATTACTACCAATTTATCAACTTAGTTACATAAAAGTTATTTTTACACATTTACTTCCTTTAGGAGGAATGTCAAGTGGAATATTCTGTTTCCTTTAAAAAATAAATAAAAACATTATCTATCTATCTATCTATCTATCTATCTATCTATCTATCTATCTACGTGTGTGTAAGACTATAGCACAGTAACTGTCATAGGAATAAGAACTCAACACGTAATGAAATCTAGAACTTATCAAACGTTATCTAAATTAAATTATTTACATGTGTATTATTACTGCAAGTTGTGTCATACTTCCATATTATAGTCTCCACATATCCATAAAGTGACACTAAACTGAGGAGTTAAACCTTAAAAATACATTCAAGTACCTTAACTAGTAACAGAAATGTATCTTATTTGTGTATCACTCAGCTGTAGATCCTCCAATCATCTCTGAATTGGTGCTGATACTGTCCTTCCTTCTGGGGGGTGGCTAATTTTGTTCCCCCATGGTCCCTGTGTGTGTTGTAAAGTAGCCACTGCATATATGTATATATTTAAAAATGGGGTTCCCCAACCAATGCTTGGCAGAATAATTATGCGTTTTATTCATTCACGTTTTTTTTTTTATTGATTTTATAAATAATCTTAAATAAAAGGTGCACCCAGATTAATCTACAAATTATAATAATAATAACTGGATGGGAACTCCATTGCATCAACGCTATAGAACACATACAAGAATTTATATACAATCTTGAATAAAAACTACACCTATAATAATCTACAAATGAAATCATTGGATGGGAACCCCATTCCATCATTTCTATAGATTAGAAGATATACATATTTAATGCTAATATTATTTTAATATGTAGCTTATTATAGGTGTTATTTTAATTCAAGATTATACATAATATGTGTATATGTTCTACAGAGTTAATGGAATGGGGTTCCCATCCAGTCATTTTTATATGTAGATTCATCTGGGTCTACTTTTTATTCAAGATCATATATAATATGTTCTAAAAGAGTTGACACAACGCGGTTCCCATCTAATTATTTTAATATGGAGATTTATCTGAGTCTACCTTTTCCTCAAGATTCTTTTTTCATATACAATAGTTCATATTTTTTATATGCTCAATCTATAGAGTTGATGGAAAGGGGTTCCCATCCAATTATTTTTTTGGGGAGATTCTTCTGGGTCTACCTTTCCCTCAAGATTGTTTTTAATATATACAATATTTATTATGAATATTTGTATACATTCTATAGAGTTGATGGAATGGGGTTCCCATCCAATTGTTTTAATTTGTAGATTATTAAATGTGTATGTTTTATTCAAGATTATACATTTTTTTTAAATAATCTAGAGTTGATGCAGTGGGGTTTCCATCCAATCATGTTAATTTGTACATGAATCTTTTATTCAAGATTATTTATATATTAGATTTAACGTTAATATTTGTATATGTTTTATAGAGTTGATGGAAAGGGGTTCCCATCCAATTATTTTATTTTGGAAATTCCTCTGGGTCTATCTTTCCCTCAAGATTGTTTTTAATATAAACAATATTTACTAAATATATTTTTATGTTTTATAGAGTTGATGGAATGGGGGTTCCCATTCAATTATTATAGGTTTACATTTTATTCAAGATTATTTATATATTATATGTAAATGTTAATGTTTTTATATGTTCTATGGAGTTGATGGAATGGGTTTCCCGTCCAGTTATTTTATTTTGTAGATTATTGTCGGTGTATTTTTTTATTCAAGATTATTTATATGTTCTATGGAGTTGATGGAATGGGTTTCCCATCCAATTATTTTATTTTGTAGATTATTGTAGATGTATTTTTTATTCAAGATTATTTATATATTAGATTTAATGTAAATATTTTGTATATGTTCTGTAGAGTTGATGAAGTTGGGTACCCATCAAATTATTTTAATGTGTATAATAATAATAATGTAGGTGTACATTATACCGTTTTTAATATATATATCTCCATTCTTGAGCAGAGGTACATGTGTTGTGTCTGTGGACGTTTCTTGTGGTATTATCCTCCATCATGGAGTTGATTGTCCCCACATTGGTCTACTAAACCTCTCCCACGTTCTACAACCTCCATGTTTATTCCAACCAAGCCCAACAATTCCGGCTCCCATTGGACTGGGACGTCTGGTTGGGCGTTTCCCGGCAACACCCGTCCTCCATTTCATGTCAACCCAACACAAAATGGCCGCCGGGGCCATCTAAGGCTTCCCGCGCACAGAGCCGGGTCGCGCTGGTTTTGTTGGCCGACCCCATGAGTCACAGCCCAAGGACAAAACCCGCGCTGTCAAAACACCCACCGGACGCCATTGAGCGTCGCTCTCTCTCGGTCTACTTTGACCAAGAACGTCGACGGAATCAAGATGGCAGGCGGCTGAGGGAAGACCATGGCGCAGCCTCGTTCTGGTTCTGAGGCGACTAATGAGCGCGTGCGGGAGCCCTCCCTCAACCGCCAGCTGCCTTCCTACCCCACCCCCACCAACAGACGCTGCTCTCCCCGCTGCGGATGCACGGAGCTGCACGTAGTCCAAAGCCATAGAACAACCGCAGCTCCTTCCGCCGCCCGGGACTATTTTCCCTCCAGTGACGCGGCCCGAACCGATCCTGAAGCAATAGCTTCCTTATAGGCTCATCATTCGTCACCCTCAGTTAGCTATACAGCGGCCACTCTGTGTGTAAGGGATAATAACTCTTCTTATTAACAAGAAGACCGGCGGGGACTATTTTCTCACAGAGACGTGCCCGCGTCTTACTACATCAGAGGCGGATGAATATAGCCCTTTTTTTTTAATTTGTGAGGTCCGTCATTGGATTCCCCTAGCGGTGTAGGGAATCGCTTTATAACTTGTGGAGGGCGGAGCTTGGCAATTCTACGTCGCCGGTTTCCCCCCCAATCAGGGACTGGGAGCAGGTCATCTCGCGCCGCCCTGCGGCCAATGGCGAGCTGAGGGGCGCGGCTTTGGAAGGTGCGCGTGCAGCGGTCGTCCGCCTCTCCTGCATAGTAGTTGTCCTGCTGTTGCACTGAGCTGTGTGGAGACGGGGGCGCCCGGACAGGCTGACTGGAGGAGCAACAATAGACGGGCTCAGGGAGAGGTGACAGCGCGACGTGGAGCCACGGAGAGGGCCGCCACTGCGCACCGTGACGACCGCTGGGTGATAAAGTGGCTCTGAACGGTGAGTAACGCAGCTTCCCGCAGGACGAACGGGGGGGGGGGTAAATGTCTGTTAGGGCGCACATTCCCGTAGTGTTCAGCGCTACAGCTGCTGACTGCGCCATCGCCCGCCTTCAATGATGTGCTAGGGGCTGGAACCTGCAGTGTGCATGACTTGTGCACTGCATGGCTGCCTCCATTTCCAGGGACATGGCTCTCCAGTTGGGTTCACCGTGCACACTACAAAGCCCAAGACATGGGGGAGACCTTGCACATCCAGTGATTCTGGGTACACATACACAAAAACATACATTTTAAACAAATATATGTTTTAGTGTTAAGGAGCTTTAAGTATAAAGAATATGGGGGTTCATCTACAACACTGCTTGGGCCGCCATGTATATGCCCCCTTTGTTGGCCTTCACCTTGGCAAAGTCCACCATTGATGGGTATGCCCACCACGGATGAGTTAGGTCTGTACCCCAACCTAGTTGGAATGTGCTGGACTGGTTGCAGCTGCATTTGGTAATAATGGGTGGAGTTGGGCTTCAGTTTTTGGGGTAAAAAGGCCGGGTGAACCCCATTTTGCCGGCCATGTGTCACCTCCTGGATGTAAATACTCAACCACCTGCTCCTCGGAGCCAATGAGCTTGTGCTGTCATTGGTATGCAATGAGGGGGCGTGGACTTGTGCTAGTTGACTCCTTTTAAAGAGTGGCTCCAACTTGGCAAACGCTACATACATACATACATACATACATACATACATAGTATCTAGTGAGCCTCAAGTATGAGGTCATGTACAAAACAGATCATGTGCAGTCTTGTGTGTGTTTCTTCTGTTATGTTTGAAGGGTTTGCAGCCTCCTTTTGTTGGCCTTCACCTTGGCTGTGCCTGTCATGGGTGACTTAGTTGCACGTGCCCACCATGGATCAGTTAGATCTGTGCTAGGGGGAAGATAGGTGTGTGCGCCCGCCAGGGGTGAGATAGATCTGTGCCAGGGGTGAGTTGGATACGTGTGCCCGCCAGGGGTAAGTTGGGTGCGCGTGCCTGCCAGGCATGATATAGATCCGTGCACCATCCTAGTTGGATGTGTTGGACTGATCACAGCTCCATGTGAAGCAGATAGATGGAATTGGGGTTGACCTTTTGGAATGCAAAGGCCGGATGAACCTCATTTTGCTGGCCATGTGTCACCTCCTGGATGTAAATACTGAGTCACATGCTCTTCGGAGCCAATGAGCTCACGTGTTGCCATTGGTATGCAGTGAGGGGGCGTGGACTTGTGCTAGTGCATACATGACCCTGCTCATAAACCTGAAAAAGACATCTTTTGAAGAGTGGCTCTAAATTGGCAAACACCCCATACATGCATATTATTTTGTAAGCCTCAAGGATATGAGGGGATGGGCAATCTTGTGTGTTTTTCCTCTGTTATCTTTGAAGGGTTAGCAGCCTCCCTTTGTCTGTGCCCACGGGGGAAGGGGGGTTAGGTGCGTATGCCCGCCAGGGATGGTAGATGCATGTGCCTGCCAGGGGTGAGATGTGTGCCAGTGGTGAGTTAGATGCGTGTGCCCGCCAGGGATGAGTTAGATCTGTGCCAGGGGTAAGTTGGGTGCGCCTGTCTGCTAGGCATGATATGGATCCGTGCACCATCCTAGTTGGATGTGTTGGACTGATCACAGCTCCATGTGAAGCAGATAGATGGAATTGGGGTTGACCTTTTGGAATGCAAAGGCCGGATGAACCTCATTTTGCTGGCCATGTGTCACCTCCTGGATGTAAATACTGAGTCACATGCTCTTCGGAGCCAATGAGCTCACGTGTTGTCATTGGTATGCAGTGAGGGGGTGTAGACTTGTGCTAGTGCATACATGACCCTGCTCATAAACCTGAAAAAGACATCTTCTGAGGAGTGGCTTTAAATTGGCAAACACTATATATATATATATGTGTATACGTGTATATATGTATATGTATATATATATATATATATATAATCTATATCTCTATCTCCTCAAGGATATAAGGGATAAAGACCATGGGCAGTCTTGTATGTTTTCCTCTTTTATGTTTGAAGGGTTGGCGGCCTTCACCTTGGCTGTGCCCGTCGGGGGTGAGTTAGGTGTGAGTGCCTGCCAGGGATGAGTTAGATCTGTGCCGGGGGTGAGTTAGGTGTATGTGCCTGCCAGGGGTGAGGTAGA